GAATAGAAAACATCATCAAGTGCTTCAACAACATTGATCCTAGAACATATGCAAGGAACTCTTCGCTTCTACTCAACGCAACTGCGTTTGCAGACGCTTGCAGTCCAGACGAGCTGGTAAATAACTTTCAAAAGCTTTTTACAGACTCCTGGAGATCAAAGATTAACGAGAGCAGGAAACTCACTTTCTACAAGGACGTCAAAACAGTCTTTGCATGGGAGCCTTACCTCGATTATGCAAGAACTCTCAATGACAGAAGATCAACAGCTCAAATAAGGTGCAGTTCTCACAGACTCAGCATAGAAATTGGGAGATACGACAAAACACCTCTAGAGAGCAGAACTTGCACCTTTTGTGAACTGAAAGGATCAACCGGGATCATAGAGGATGAAACACACTTTCTCACTTCCTGCCCACAAGGGAAGGCTATCAGAGACAAGTTTACCAGAGCTAGTGAAAGCTTGGGAAACAGCAATGACAACGGACTGAACAACATTGTCAACACTCTCTCTCGTACCGAAGATCTTTACGGTAACCTTAACGAGCAGGATGTGAACTTGATTAGACTTTCATGCTCAACCATCAGAGAAATGTACAGTCTGAACCTCAAGCACAAAGACAGCCTTCGTGATGAAGATGGAAAGTAGTCCTTCAGCCAGCTCCCTTCTGCTTTTCTCGTTCTTTCTTTCCTTCTCCTTCTGCTTTGGATCTGTGACGGATGCTATGAGCGACTCTTGGGACTTTCCGTCCCTACATGGGCTTCCGGCCGTGCGTCCATGTAGGAACTGTGGGGCCTTCAGAGTGATAGGGTTACAATGGTTGTTAGTACAGCAATGGATCGCTCCATTGGCCCGACCTCCGAGACGGGGTATCCGAGAGGACCCTGGTCGTGACCAGCTCTGCACCAAAAGGTGTATTCTGGCGCCTGAAATCTTGGACCGTAGTCTGCGTACGGGGTAGACTGCCACGGACGATTTTGTTACACGGGCCGCTCACTGCATTCTGATTTTAGCCAGACCTCAGCAGGTGGTTTGTCTCCACTCTTGTTTCTTTTTTCTTGTCCCCCTGCATCCTTTCCTTCTCCTTTGCTTCCCCCCTTTCAGTCTTCATTTTCAGCATCAGCCTCATCAGTCTCATCAGTTTTAGTCTTCAGAGCCACTTGCTCCTACGACCGCACCTTACTGGCTCACTGCATTTGGCCCAAGCGGCATTTTAATTTTCCTTTTTTTTTAACTTGCTTACTGTGCATTTCTTTTTTGCCCTAGCGACTAGCGCGCGTTCGTGTTCCCGAGCATGCCATCTCAGAACACCTCGGGTACACTTGTTCGTCCAAGTACCTAGTGGTCGACACTTTGACAGTCATCACACTGTTCTGGATTATGGCACAGTCGACATGAAAACTTTTTCTTATCAGTCATTATCATGTCACCCATCACAACATTTTGAACTTCGATAGTACCTTACATGAATTTATCGACAGTTAACTCTCTTTCACTAAGACATTCTTAACTTTGTCACACAGTATCACATTTTCATTAGACACCTACATTTTGAGAATCATTTAATTTTCGATTGGAACTTAACCGAATTAAGACCTAGTGTGTGTGTTTGAGCGATTTGTACAACATTTCTGTAATGTTTCAAATTATATTCAAATGTTCTAAAAAAAAAAAAAAAAATGTTCTATAACAGGAGCGTCAACCTATCCGTAAGCAGCCCTAACACAACCCTAAAATACTGTTAGTTCATCCTGAAACCGCTATGAAGACTTGAAATACTGCTTATAGAAGTCCCGATAAAATCCTTGGTAGTCCTTTTCGATTTTGGTTGATATCCGTATTCATAATGAGGTCTGATCGTCATCTTCGTACAGCGTTCGATGTCTGTGTGAAGGTAAAATTATGGTGATATCCTCTGGATCAGGCAGAGGTCGAGTGTTATCGGGATTATTTCTGTAGTAGTGGAACAGCAATACTAAGGTATACTAAGGTCCCATTACCTTAGTATTGCTGTTCCACTACTACAGATATCCGTATTCGTTTATCTTAGGCAAATATTTGGAAAAATTTCTTTCGTCTTCTGAACTCGAGATCTTTCCTTCTGACAAGCACTATCATTAGCTGAGAACTAGAGTCATTGTTTACAATTACTGAGATTCGGCAGAGAGACCGGTGCCATCCGATAAGCCGATAGCTTATAATATCATCTATAAGTATAACAGCCAAGTTTATGATAATAATATGAAAAATAAGTGCATTTTAAATAATTTGCCCTTGAGTATGATAATTATAACCAGTTTTATCTTGTTTAGCGTCCTCGAAAACATAGGGTTACATGATTTTCGCTTCGATATTCATTAACAAAAAATCCTTCTATCTTCAAATTTCTGGCTCAGCTGCCTGGTAGGTTTCAAAAGGTAATAACTGATACCAGATCAAGATGCTGCAATAATTGTGCAGCTCCTATTATAATTGGATCCAATTACACGCGATACAATATACTATTCCATTTAAGGCCTGATCAAGTAGCTTCAGCTCTGGTGACGTAGTTGTATGCCGACTATCCTATTCCTCTATTCGGCATACGACACGTTACGAATGTGATCGCGTGACCGAGGATTTACGAAACAAGGAGACGTGATGTGGGACAATTTTGGAAAGCTTAACTACGGTACTATGAAAAGTGCACGTTTTGCTCTAAAAACACACTTTTTTAGAGATTTTATAGGCGTATCCTCTAAAATCATCAAATTTGTCCAATTTTAGGGAGGGACGCCAAAATGGGAGGGGTCACCAACAGGAGGGAGCTTTTTCAGCGGGGGGGGGGGGGGGGGGGGGGCAAGTTAAATCAGTGGTGTAACATTGCCTGTTGGCGCCGAAAAAGCGCCCCTACGCTTGTTGAAATTACGCTGTGTTTAAGTGTTTAGTGCGAGCAACATTTTAATTGTCTGTATCTTCGGTTCATGTGTAGGATATTTTTTGACGCCATTTAAACCACGGGTTTTTAAGTATCATACAATATGATGTTTGCCTCTAGAAAGATGTAAGATTAAAATTATTTAGTCGCAAAATTAATCGCAAGATGGTGATTGTAGACCCGCTTATTTAGTCTTTAGAGGATGGCAGAATGATGTAGAGCATGGACTTTCTGCTAGTTATCATTCGCCGATGATATTTGAAACGTTTAGGAAAGAGCCCGGCCATGAAAGTATGTAAAAATAGTATAAGCTTCGTTTTTCATGTATTTTGGACGCTGATTCCGAATTACCTGCTATTATTTAAATATATAGGGTTGCTATAAATGTATAGGGTTGAAACGCTCGCCCAAGAAGTTATCGGCAAAAACTGTTTTGGTCACACGACAGGCTTGTAAAACACGAATTACGGTCATTATAGTGATCAACTTCGGGGTCATGGTTACTGGATAGGATTAGGGGTTATAAAACCGCTGCAAATAAACAAATTCATTTAATTCACGTGATAGCACTCTGGCGAGTTAATTAGTAAACTTGTATTATGTACTTTTCTCAATCTTCAGTTGTTGATATTTCGTTTAAAGTTAAACATCGATTTTTCTAACAATGTAGAATGGCAGACATGCGGAATCTTCAAACGAAGTTAATATTCCTACAAATCATCTCGCTATCTCTATGTGGTAAGCTACGTGACATGTGCATGCATGAGCTGCTATTTTACTTATCATTGATCAAAAATAGATCGATAATTTATCGTTATAGAAAATAGAAATAGTATCATTTGTACCCGGTGAAATGAGATAATTATAGTATTAAACATTTTACACCAACACCAAAAATTGGGTAGATTGGACCATCGACCGTATCTCCTTTTTCCAGACACAAAGGAAGTAGATCAATTTAAGTTACTGGTCTCAAATGTATGCAAAATGATACCGGGAATGTAATCGGTCGCTTGATTTCCCCATTCATTCACGGCCTGCAAATTGTAACGAATTTAGGTTAACTAAATTAATGAAACTCAGTAGAAATCTTTTTGAGCTGCTTTCGGGCTGATACTTAGTGTACGTCGGGATAAGAGCTATAGGTAGTGTGTCCAATGGGGTGAAGTTTATCCAGTAGAAGTGCAAGTGTCGAAAGTATTATTTTTGAATTGACCACAGGGTGACAGGGATCAAACAGAAAAGAATCAAGACCTAAATGATAACATTGAAAATCCATCTGGTGTCACTACAATAAGTTCAAATTATTTAATTCTCGGTAATTCACTCCTCTGTTTGCTTCATGCTAAATCTAACAGCTGAAACAAACAGGGGTCTGACTTTGAGTTAACAACTTATACTCAAAGCGGCATTTTCTAGATGTCTCAGCCAACATATCATAGACTTAATTAGGCCCCTTCCAGCCATTGCCACTGCGAATTTAACCTAAAACCTGCCCAGTTAATAGCGAAGACTGCGAAATTACCACTCCTGCCTAGTAATCTAATTTACCCTGTCCAGATCAGCAGTATATTACACTAAATCCGCAGGTTTTCTCTTAATTTTTTATGTCAAAACCTGCCTAATTAACTAGTGATCCTGCATCAACAGCGCAGGTATTTGTTATTTGGCAGGTTTTCTATTAACTTGGCAGGATTTGCTATAAAATTATCAATCCTTTCCGGATGGATTACGGCAGTGATAAAGTTAAATCGGCAGGTTTTCCATTAACTTGGCAGGATTTTTTATAAAATTATCAATCCTTGCCGGATAGATTACGGCAGTGATAAAGTTAAATCGGCAGGTTTTCCATTAACTTTGCAGGATTTGTTATAAAATTATCAATCCATGCCAAATAGATTATAATGCTATAATCTTATTATGGCAGCGTTAAATTTATAAATTGGCAGGTTTCTTTTATCTTTCTTTTAAGTTCTTAAGTTATTTGGAATTTTGCTTATTTGGCACCAAAACTAAAAGTCCATAAAACCAAGTTGATTAGCGCAGTCAAGAAATTGGCCGGAGTTGATAAAAAGCTGACAACCATGGCACTGAATCTCCAAATGAGAGGTATAGTACGCTATATACTTATATAGTACGGTACCGCAACAATTGACCCCCTCCCCCCCCCCCCCCCCCCCCCCCCCCCCCCCCCCCCCCCCCCCCCCCCCCCTCCGACAAATGAACCCCTGATGCAATCTACCCCCGACAATTGACCCCCATGTAATTACACTGGGGTCAATTCAAGGTTAGGGTCAGGGTTATGGTCAGGGTTATGGTCAGGGTTATGGTCAGGGTTATGGTCAGGGTTAGGGTCAGGGTTAGGGTCAGGGTTAGGGTCAGGGTTAGGGTCAGGGTTAGGGTCAGGGTTAGGGTCAGGGTTAGGGTCAGGGTTAGGGTCAGGGTTAGGGTCAGGGTTAGGGTCAGGGTTAGGGTCAGGGTTAGGGTCAGGGTCAGGGTTAGGGTCAGGGTTAGGGTCAGGGTTAGGGTTACTGGGTAACACGACTCCTGTCAGCGACATCTGTCCGACAGCGACATCTGTCCGACTCAGGGTACCAGAAAAAACGACATTTGTCCGAAATTGTGATCTGATTTCAATACAACACATTTCCAATTAGAGACGTGATCTGAACTGTTAATTTGAATACGTAACATTGCCAATTTGAGATATGATCTGAGCCATAGTGTACTACTAGTTTATTTTCGACCTAGGCAGGCAGGCATGAAGCAACTGCGTTGTGAATGGCGAGCTCGTAGTCCATGAGAATGTATTGTGGTTGGTAGCCCCAAGGCCTCAGAAGCCCAGGTGTCTATCTCCTCGAACATGTTGCGGTAGAGGGTCGTCGATTTTCCAGGAATGAGTCCTTAGAAGAGGGGGAGGTGCCAGCCGTCAGGGAAGAGTCCGTGGACTGTGAAGAGCTGATGGAAGAGATTAGGTGCGGATTTGAAGGTACCGTTGGGCGTTGACTACGCAATGCTCCGCGTCCACCATATGATCTGCGTTCTTAGGAGTCCCCCAAAGGAATGATCGACGAGTCTGTTCGTCCCATCCAGAGTCCCAGAGCATCATTGGACTGTTGTCGGTAGAGAGGATTTAGTTTGCAGGAATGGATAGCGTTTCCAGATCTCTCGGGTCTGTTTGCTGCAGATCTGGGTCTGTTTACTGAAGATTGGTTGCCATTGTGGATTGCGATAACTGATCTCCATACGGCTGCTATCCTATATGTACTCATGTAGGCTGTGTCCTGTGATGTGATCGACAGCTTGTTAGTGTACGGCTAGCACAATTCTGTCCTTAAATAGTCAATCACGTATCGATGGATCAGATCTCAATGGATCAAATCAGCATTCGAACAATGGGAGCAACGTCACGAAATTACCCGTGAGTTTGTGAAATACGAATGTGAACCGAAATTACAATATGATCCAAAATTCGGACAGATGTCGCCAAAAACGACTCCTGTCCGACAGCGAAATCTGTCCGAAATCCCCAATTCGGCTGTCGGACAGATGTCGCTGTCGGACAGATGTCGCCCAATCGGGTTACTGTTAGGGTTAGTATAATAAATATATTTGTTTGGTCAATTGTCGGGGGGGGGGGGGGGGGTCAATTTTCAAGTATTATATCACTTGCACCGTTTAGCTCCACGTGGTTTCTTAAGCTTAAATACTTAACTGTCCTGTCAAGATAAAGTAAATCACTATCACCTCTCATTCTTAATAAGTTAGTAAGCAAGCATCTGATCATTTTAAAACAGTCACCTCCCAATTTAGCAAGTTCTTACATCTATATTACAGTCTACACCCTTCAATAATGAGATAATATGTTTGGCCGGTAGAGGGTCCGCAGTAGTCCCATTACAGCATTACCTCATTACCTTAGCATTGCTGTACAGTGTACAACTACTATAAGAGTATAAGATATACATCCTTCACCAAAACTGGTTTGTCCGCTTTCTATTACTAATTTTCCGCTGAAAGTGCCACATCAGTGATCAATTAATATTGGTAAATAGCAATAATTTGAGTTATAGGTTGACCTCCCACTTAGAGCATATGTGGGAGGTCAACCTATAAATTATAGTACGAGCTATTTCCAATTCGTGAATACGAATTTCGATTAAGGTCCAACTTATTAAGTGTCACTTTAACGTGTGACAAATTTCCGATCAAATATCTCATAATCTGAAAATAACTGCATATTTAGAACTATTATATTAATTGTAATTGAAGATTCTTTCAGAATCACTTCATTCACTAAATCTTACAATGTGAACAATGAACAGGTAGAGGCACTGCAACTGAAAAAGTGCTGTCCTCACTACTTAAGAACATAGCAATCTAATCTAAAAGCAACCTAAGAACTGAAGTTAAGCAAACAGTTATTTTCCAATAATCGGTTTTTATACATATATATATAGTACTTTTATACTCAAACTTATCATAGACCCCGTGTTGGTAACAGTGGATAATATGCAGTGGCGAAACGTACCTAAGAGGCCGCAGCTGCACCCCCCCCCCATCCCCTTCCGCATAGCAGGGGTTGCCGGAGTGTCGGGCGGTCGTTTCGCCACTGACAAGTGACTGCATGTATAAAAGTATAAACTATAGAGCCATGTAGGCATGTAGCATTCTGTACTTCTGTAGCTTTGCACAAACCAAGTCTCAGTCCTACACCCTACCTAGTAATAAGGTTATACGATCATTACAGTATTCCACATTGTACACTCAAATTATCCAAAACCCCTGCCAATATAAGTTTAATCACGCCACAAGTTGATTCAAATTATCTCAACTTACGCAGGATTTGCGTTAAATCTGCAGCATTCGACTTTATATTTAACGGAAAACCTGCGAAAATAGAGCAAACCTGCCGAGAGTAGGTGAAAGGTGAGGCAGGTTTTGTGTTAATTTTGCAGGCTTTTCTATAAATCAACAACTCGATTAAATAATTACGTGAGATAAATCTCTGCACGAATACGATAAATAGGCAGGTTTTCGGTTAATTTTGCAGGAATCATTTTAAGACTTCAAATTGATTATCAGTCTTAATGTAAAACCTGCCAAATTAGGTGGCAGGTGGCAATGGCTGGAAGGGGCCTTTAATTACTGTGGCTTGTGTAGTTACATTATCTGATTGGACATACATCTATTGTTAAATAAGTGTTTTATTTAAATATAGCTTAAAACTAAGATCTTTGTACTTATAGTGACTTCCGTCAATACAATTAACGCTCTAGGGAAAATACTTTGCTGTTTTTCAGCATTGTAACAGTCTGTATGCTTTGATCTTTCGCAAATACAACAAGGTGTAAAGTTCTAAAATATTGGATTATAAAAGATAGCATAGTATGTCGTTGTAAGAAAAATGTTTTACAGAGCTGGTCGCATAAATACTGCTGCTTATCGAGTGACGGCAAGGCACCTAACAGGCAGCGAAGTAATCAGGAAATGAAGTAATCAGGAAAAATTTGAATTACAAGGTTCCTGCTAACCGGATAACAGGTTAATTCAAATGATTACATAATATACTGATTAAAAGTTTACCATAATAATATTTATGCGATGTATCGCACAATAAATTTGGTTACAAACTTTTTGGTATTACCATAATTTTAGTCACAAATTTCTCAAATTTGTATACTAATTACTACCTATGGGAAAAGGAAGTAAGAGCCAACTATGACTGTTGTCACGAGTAAAGGCACGGCCTCTTAACACACTGTGCCATTTGTCATGATTTTAGGCTCGATCTCTAAACATACTATGATAATTGGGACGAAAATAGTAAAATGTGAGTGCTGCCAAGTCGGCCGGGTGGATTAGTGGTTTTAATACATTTACTTCCCACGCGGACGACTGGGTTTCGATTCCTAGTGGGGACCAATCTGGTTCCCAGTGGTGACCAATTCGGTCGGATGCAGTTCGGCCACCAAACCATGGTTTGATGCTTTCATTAGAACTTCTATTCGCAAAAAACTTTTGGCGGAAAAAAAGTTTTTTCAAAAACTACCTATACTACCTTTGTCCTTTTCCAGTGTTTCAAGAAATTCCGAAACATTTTTATGATTTTTGGTTACTTGCTAATTAGTAACTATCCAATTATCTAATTGTCTGACATGAACATTTGTCTTACACAAGTTTTTCTCGTCGATATGATAATTACCCTTTATTAATTCGTATCCTTCCACAGCTGAAGATATTTGACAAACAAGAAAGGAGGTAAAAAGTAGCAAAAAGTGGCAAAAAGTGGCCTTAAGACACGTTGACAATTTTGGAAATGTTGGCCACCCGAATAAAACTTAAAATTGAACTCAAAAACGTCATAAATCCTTTGGAAGCTTCTTCTGTCTGCAGATCGATTTTTTTAGATCTGTCTGTACTATAGTACTATCTTTGCACTCTGCACTGCTAATGTCCATATCACGCAAAATATTGACCTCATTAGGTAATCGTGACGTCACGTTATCCATGACAGTTGGCACAAGTACTGAATAGACTGTGCCTGCAGTCACGTCAGGCACGGATTATCAGCTAGGTACGGCTTTTGAAAAGCAGAGTGCCTGAGGAGTTGTCACGTATCCTTGGCACGCCCTATAAACACACTACGTACATATGGTCATTACATCTGACCGCACCATGACAATAGTCATGGTGACAACAGTCATAGTATGGTCCGGCCCTTAAATTCTGAGAATAAACTATGGGCGACATTCATACAATTCCTTTACAATTTTGCTAGAACACAGGGATCATGAAGTGTCCCCGACTTAATCGTCAAAACATTTCACATATACTATCACATAGAAACACTAATATAGGAATAGGGCTCGGAATTCCCAGATTCGTAACTTAATTATGTCGCGTGAAATCGATACTGGAATATCGCCCTATTTTGTTGGATTGCGGCTAACTGTCAGACACCGCAATAGAAACAGTGTTAAAATGCACATTTTTATTCATGTGCTGTGGCGCCAATTTAATTGATAAAATCTTCAAATTAACGACACTTGATAGATTTGACTTTTATCTTTCGAAAATTGTGGTTGTATAATGTGCATAATATACACAAGCATCAAATAATTGTCTTATAAATTTACTAGTAAAAGCTCTTACGGGCATTTTCTGCTCGATACGCTAGGGACTCCACATACATCTTTCTAGACGTACTTTTGACCGTAGAATCGATTAAACGTGGTTTTGAAATGATAAGTCTGAGTTTCCCCAGTTAAAATCGCAAAAAAACGATTTTTGGGCCAAAAATATGCCAAAAAACCATGTTTTTTGAATTTTTGAGCAAGTTAATTTCGTTGGCATATCAGCAAAATGTGCATGAAGATAGCTAAAAACACAGCCGCACATGATGGCATTAAAATTAAGCTATTATTCCAGGATTTCGTGCTACATTCAAGTTCCATGAAGTGAGCTGCCTTTAATTGCTTGTAGGAACTAGATTAATCGCTGTACACCAAATTTAGGAAGATATGTGAAATATAATGGTTTATACCTGATGGTAATCTTGTCGGTTCAAAAAAATAACCAACAGAAAACTTGTTATGGACGATTAAAATCAGGTGTTTTTACACATGTCGTATATGCTATCCTGTCACCTAGCCGCAACTTGGAAAAATGTAATTGATATGCCCCATATTATCTCAGCTTGTGAAGCAATTACGACGGAGCTATTTTGGGATTGCGGCAGAATTACCAAGCCTAGCTCACTACCCAAGTTTCGAGTATTTTTGAAGAATTCGCAAATGTACACTTCATGATCTCTTTAAATTCATGATATTCATTAATCGTTGCTCAGTAGTCATGAATTAAACATACAATTAACAGGTTGGTTACCAGTGATACGTGAGGTGGAAATAGAGTGGGATCTTCAGTCGACACCTTTAGAAATTAAAACTAATAGTGTGCTGGGGAGTGGCGATAAGGTGGTAGTGGACTTCTACTCTGCTGGGGGAGCATATGCAGGAAGAGTCGGGCTCTGGTTCACCTCTACTCCGGGATACTTAATCAACTGGTGCGGCATGTCCTACACTAACCTCCCTGTTAATCTCCCCTCTCCTACTGACAAGGTGTGGCGTATCACTCTAACCAGAACTGCAGGTGTTAGAGTAGTGATACACTGTAACGAGGTAGAGGTGCTCAACATACTGCTCTCTCAAGCAACGTGTAGTAACAGTGACTGGAGCACGATCTGGATCTGGGACGTAGCAAAGATAATGTTCCATCCCGCCGACACAGCATCTGATTACTACGCAACACAACCAGGTGACTAATAACAACAAGCATTGGTTTAACAAACAATAACTTTAATTTACAAATAAGCCAACTTGCTGATTCTCTCGTAAGCTCGTGATTACGTGTTTTCTGTCTAAATTTCAAGTATGCCATTTAGTTATTTAACATAAACACATATATTATAGAATATGGGATATAAGATAGTTAGTACATATTGTTATTTATAACTGAATAAAGTGGTCATCATTTTATCAATTACTATTTTACGAATGAGATAAAGTCAGATTCTTCCAGATTGCAAAATGGCTAACTATAATTTAGAAATATTGCATATTTTGTAGTAGACATCATGGAGACAAGCCATTTTCAGCTACTAAAGGTTGAAACAATTATCAATTGTAAACTGACGTTTTTACAAAATATCTTGAACATAAGCAGTAAGGTATTTTACCAAACAAACTCAAAACTTTTTTGGTTCAATATTTATTTTGCAGAGTTTACACAATTTGTGCATCGTGCAATGGGCATTGCTTCATAGTTTGTTGATGAGGCGAATTTTTAGCGTTAATCCTTATGACTTATAACAATTTGAATTAGTATTGTGCTTAGAACCAAGAAAGAAAATTTGTGGTACAAAATTACAAGAATCGTAAGAGTCTGGGTGGCAATAATTTCTTCGAAAAACCGTGGAATATGTGGATATTTAATTTTTCACATTTCTACTATAATTCAGAGAATTCCCTTTGTACACTGTACGTACGACCGCCCACGTGCAAATTAGATGAAAAATATGACTTTGCTTAGTAACTGCATGGTAACGAGGGTTATTAAGTTATTACACGCACGTGCACTTGCAATGATTGTTTTAACGTCATTTTGATCAGTTTTGTTGATAATACGATTTGTTTAGTACGAGCAACATTTTAATTGGCTGTATCTTCAGTTGTGTAGGATAATTTATGACACAATTTAAACTTACTAACACAAAATACTATTAGCTTTCTCCCTTTGACCACGGGTTTTCTAGTATTGTTATAAATCTAATGTTATTGTAACACATCTTAACTGCACTTAAATAGTTATATAATAACGATTTTCTTATCTTCCACTACGATTTGCCAATTTTAGATTTATTAATTCCAGAGCCGTGTGGAGAAGGAACATATCGGAATGATGCTATGACAAGCTGTGAGACATGTGACGCTGGATTGACACCAAACTCTGATAAAACAGCCTGTGGTAAGATAACTTTGAAGCTTATTAAATTGAATATTATTGTTATGTTTTAAATTTGAATTAACTGTGCTATAGAATGAAAACCGAGGACATTGGTACTCACAATAACTTCTTGATATTAATATACTTACATAGTAACGATTTTCTTATCTTCCACAAAAATTTGCCATTTGTAACATTATAATTGTAGAGCCGTGTGGAGAAAAATTATATCGGAATGATGCTATGACAAGCTGTGAGACATGTGATGCTGGATTGACACCAAACTCTGACAAAACAGCCTGTGGTAAGATAACTTTAAAGCTTATATTTAATATTATTGTTGTGTTTTAAATTTGAATTAATTGTGCTATAGAATGAAAACCCAGGATATTGGTACTCACAATAATTTCTTAATAATAATAAGGTAGTTCAAACGAATTGCTGCTGAACGATTTCCCAATTCTTCAGAGCCATGTCCAGCTGGAAGCTACAAGAACATTGATATGAACACATGTAAAGAATGTTCTGATAACACGATCAGTTCAGAAGGAGCAGCCTTGTGTACAGCTTGTGAACTTGGCCAGGAACAAAACTTAGGGAGAACAAAATGTGGTAAGAATTGTTAACAAGAACCGAGCTGAGATGATTATATCTATATTATATAGATGGGCAAAGATAGGCTAAGGGTTAAGACGTGATAAGGATAAGGCGCCAGATAGGGCTTAGAATCAAGAAAGCAAATTTGTGGTACGGAAAGACAAGAACCGTAAGAGTCTTGGTGGTAATCATTCTATCTAAAAACCGTGGTTGTGTGGATATTTAATTTTTCACCTATTGTTTTAAATCTTATGTAATTGTTACACATCTGAAGTGTACTTAAATACTTATATAATAACGATTTTCTTATCTTCCACTACGATTTGCCAATTTTAAATTTATTAATTCCAGAGCCGTGTGGAGAAGGAACATATCGGAATGATGCTATGACAAGCTGTGAGACATGTGACGCTGGATTGACACCAAACTCTGATAAAACAGCCTGTGGTAAGATAACTTTGAAGCTCATTAAATTAAATGTTATTGAATTTGAATTAACTGTGCTATAGAATGAAAATCGAGGATATTGTTACTCACGATTACTTAATAAGCTAGTTCAAACGAATTGCTGCTTAACGATTTCCTAATTCTTCAGAGCCATGTCCAGCTGGAAGCTACAAGAACATTGATATGAACACATGTAAAGAATGTCCTGATAACACGATTAGTTCAGAAGGAGCAGCCTTGTGTACAGCTTGTGAACTTGGCCAGGAACGAAACTCAGGGAGAACAAAATGTGGTAAGAATTGTTAACAAGAATCGAGCTGAGATGATTATATATATATTATATAGAGGGGCAAAGATAGGCTAAGGGTTAAGACGGGATAAGGATAAGGCGCCAGATAGGGCTTAGAATCAAGAAGGCAAATTTGTGGTACGAGGTAATCGTACTGTAGTGCGACACGTACTCTAGTGCGACACGTACTCTAGTGCGAAGTCCGACAAAAACACCCTCAGTCGCACTAGGGTACGTGTCGCACTACGATCCAGGTAGCGTACTCTACTGCGACAAAATATCCTGACTTATTTCCAAGTTCAGGTCACATCCTATCCTTCTTATGGATCATTAAGTGATTCGTCGGGTCGGTTCACGTCACTTATTTCGAAGTGATCTTGCGAACACGATTCGTCGGTTCACATCATGTATTTCGAAGTGATCCACTGATCATAATTCCTTCTGGTCAGTTCAAGCGACGTAATATGTGATCCACTGAGTAACTCGTAAGCAGCATAAGATCCTCATTCCTATCACACGCATCGTATGAAGGTATATCTCCGATTGGGATAACAAGTTCATATGCTTGGGCCATATATAAGGTCACGATGATTCACCAAAGCATCGAACAACAGGACCTACTGGCGATGGACCTACTGGCGATGCACTGAGAAGATCTGCTCCGGACGTCTCAGTCTGATGAACGACACTACTGTGACCTTCCTACTCCTGCAGCAAACTCTGTCTTTACAGCAAAGCAGAGCATGAAACGGAAAGCTTCCGATACTGACCTCCCTACGAAACACCTAATTGCTGAAGCTGTTGGACCCCTCTCCTTCGAAGCCATGTCAAAACTCAACTGTCAGCAGGAATCCCTCGCTAAGATGGCACGCACAGCTCGGACGAAGGCCATGAGGCATCCTATTGCTCCCCGCTCTTTGGCTGACCTTGTCCTAACTCCTGACTACATCAGAACGAACAGTGGCGAAACCTTCCTTCTTTGGGATTCTACCTACTCAGCAGAGAGAAGAAGATCTTTCCTGTTCGGCACTGTGGAAAATATGGATCGTTTAGCTGAGGCCCCTCATCTTGTCATCGATGGTACCTTCAGCACCTCGCCTAACTTGTTTACGCAGTTGGTGACCCTCAATCTGTCATGAGTGACTACGAGAGAGCCCTGATAAACGCTGTGGAGACAACCTGGCCCACGACTACCAAGAGAGGATGCTTCTTCCACCACAAGCAAGCACTTTGGAGGAAGATGCAGCAACATGACCTAGTCCCGGAATACAACGCAGAGAACTCAGCAGTCCGGAAGTACTTTCAGATGATCGGTGCTATTGCCTTCGTGGACCTTGGAGACGTACTGGATACCTGGACGCAGCTGAAAGCAACCCTTCCCTCGGAGATGGATTCCTTTGCTGACTACTACGAACGTACCTGGGTCGGAACACAAACCTCCTCTCCCCTCTACACCCACTGGATCTGGAATCAACGGGATGCTGTCATGGCCGGACTCCCAGAAGTTCCAACATTGCTGAGGGTTGGCACAACGGTTTTCGATCCTTGATGGGCTGCACCAACCCTACTATCTGGCGATTTATCGACGTCCTGAAGAAGGAGCAGGATCTAACCCAATGGAAGATCAACCAGAAGATGCTCAGACAACCACCTCCTCGCCGACTGAAGAAGTGGACCGATTACGACCGTCGCTTGAACGCTGTGATTGATAGCTACGATGATTATGACAGAATGGATTATTTGAAGTGTGTTGGAACAATGATTTTGAATTGAATATTGTGATTGTAATGTTTGATTTTATATTTAACCCCATTACTTATACACGACTACACTCTTGTCATTAAAACTTAAAAATGAAAAGTCAAATTTGTTTTGTCGCACTTTAGTTCGTGTCGCACTGCAGTCCAGGTAGCGTACTCTACTGCGACTGTGTCGGCCTTGAAAATTCTCTTGTCGCACTAGGGTACGTGTCGCACTACGATCCAGGTAGCGTACTCTACTGCGACTGTGTCGATCTTGGAGGTTTCGCACTAGGGTACATGTCGCACTAGAGTACGTGTCGCACTACAGTACGTGAACCGTGGTACGAAAAGACAAGAACCGTAAGAGTCTGGGTCAGGGACAAAAGGAAATCGCGGCATGTACGGAATCGCGTTTTTTCCCATTATTTGCAACACATTTTATGTATAGTTTAATATACCGCGAAATGTAATTCGCAGTATCGCGATTTTTGGCCAAAATAATAGCGAAATCCTTTTGTTATGTCACTGGTCTGGGTGGTAATAATTCTATAAGAAAACCGTGGTTGTGTGGATATTTAATTAAGAAAACCGTGGTTGTGTGGATATTTAATTATTCACCTATTGTTTTAAATCAAATTTAATTGAAACACATCTGAAGTGTACTTATATAATAACGATTTCCTTATCTTCCACAACGATTTACCAGTTGTAAAATCTTATATTATTGTTATGTTTTAAATTTAATTTAACTGCGCTACAGAATAGTAAATTGTATACAGTATGTGAGACTTGGACCCCTAAGCGAACGATAGTATAGTTATATTTGAGGTTGCTTGAAAGGATTCGGGTTGGGACAGGAAAACTAAATCGCGGAACTGCGGAAGAGAACATAAGAAACCGTCAAAATAACCCTTATTAATCAGTTTTACGTGATTTAATATGACATATCGACAGTGAGCTGTACGGGACTGAAGGCTGAGTGGAGAACTGCGATCAGAACAACAACACAGTTCCCAGTAGTCCCAGGAACCGTGGTGGAAGTGAATTGTGTTGAATACAGAGCTCTCAATAAAGGAAGCAGCGAGGTGACCTGCACCTCAGGAACGGAATTTATTTTCGATTTTAATGAACCTGAGTGTATAAATACAGGTATATTTGTAAAAGCGGATATGCTAAATGACCATATCATCACTACAAAAGGATAACTAAACTCTTCATACAACCAGGATAGTATCAGCATAACCGGTGAAAGGGGGTAAAATAATGTCTTAAGGGGGAGAGTTGGTTAATGGCTATATTACTATAGAGAACTGATTTATCTAATCTTACAGTTGATGGGCTATGACAAATAGCTCAGATGATACTGCAATCTAACTTAGATATCTAAATAAAAAAAGGATGTTGGAGTTTTCCGGGTGGAAAAGTATGACAGCAGAAACCCAATACCCATAAGTCCCCAGAAAAGTTATCGAGGTAACCTGCTCTGAGATCTCAACACAACAGCATTTGACAAAGCAAAATAAAATGTAAAATCAATTTAAATTCAAAAATTTAACAAAGGATGCATTTTCTTTCTAACATAGTAAAACACTTTGTTTCATATATATATCAAATTAAAATAAAACACTTAATGCAATCGTGAGATATACGTAGAATCTAGCTCAATGTTACAACATAAACCCTTAATAATATAGTCTAGCAAATATTAGAAACTAACCGCAAATCCGGTGATTTCCATTTCAAATGACAAAAGCCAGAAGAACTTAATAAGGTCTAAAGATAATCTACTCCTATCTCAAGTTACTAATTAACAACCCCAGGAACAATGACGATGATGTATAAAGTCTATACGAATGTCGACAGAATAGAGATGAACAGGAAGAAAGAGAGAATATCACCTCCAATTAATCTATGAGAATTCATGGTAGTAAGAAAAATGTCCAATTAAAGTGTTTGTTTTTTTTTCGTCATATACTGCAACACTTCTATTGTGCTGAATTCCTAAAATTCAATTGCTCTTTAAAACACATTGCTATTATCTAAATTATTTTCAATTTAACTGTGACCAAATTTTACATTTTGAACATGAACCGTGTTGATTACCAGAAATTACATGTACAATACCAGAAATAATGTGTCACTCAGCAACCAAATCACCATTTCAGAATACAGATTACAGAAACGAGCTTCATGGCATTGATAAGTGATGAATACCCTGAAAAAAGACACATAACTCCATCACTGTGAGTCATATTTGTGTTTTTAAACATTCATAAAAATTATTCAATGTTAAATACATATTATTTATAAATATGTATTTAACATTAAATTAAATTCAAAATCTATTCAAAGATTTAACAAAGGTTTGATGTATTGCTATAATATCATATTATAACAATTTGTTTCAGACCCTTACTTAGTAGGAACGAACCTTTCAACTGAAAAGATATGAATCCTTTGTTGACCATTTTATGAACTGTGAGCAGCAAGTACAAGAAGCTAAGAAGCGGAGGATTACTCTTTTCGTCGAAATCTTTCAAAAAACTGCTCAATCAATATCCACAAAATTTTAACATTGTTAGGCTTATTTTAATACTTCTCATACAAAGTTACAACAAAGTCTTCATGTTATGTATCCTGGGTTTGGACAGGATAATATTACCCGCTTAAAATATTTCCATCGCGTTACATAATACTCAATAAATGTAATAGATTTATAGTGTTGTAATTAGTTTTGAACTGCTGAAGTTTATCCAGCCCTGATATATAACAACCTTAGAAAAGCAAACTTATTTGCCTTCGTTTTTAAACCTACTTTCAGCTTTTATCAGCAGCTACAATTACGGTACGTACCTATACTTAATACGTAGAATCTAGTCAATTGTAATAACATACGCCATTGATAGCTTGGTGATATTGTCTAGTAAATATTAGAAACTGACTGGAAATGGTGGTGTTTGTCCTGGTGGCGGTCGATCACGATGCGCACTGCGTCATCGACATCAGTCATACACACTTCACATTCAGAACTTGCAAAAGAAAAATATAGTATATGAAATTAATTTATTGCGCTGGGCCACGCTCAGTCTGTCAACGAGTATGACAAGCCTGTTCAATCATGTCATTCCAAGGAATCTCTAGTCGGGCTGAGCGAATCACGACGTCTGAAAAAAGTGCGGTACTCATTGAAAGTTAGCATGTGTGCGTGACCAGCATTCACGTACTTGTTCATAATCAATCTTGGAAATAAAAACAAGTACACGCTGACTACCAATAGGAAAAAAAGTAATGTATATATACGCTAGTAAAGCCGCGCGCGTGCAGGCGTGCTGAGATAAAATTGTAAAATTTGGTTATTAAATAGTAAAACTGCATTAAATAAACCGCGCCAGCTTGCGCGTTTGAGTCGCTCTACGAATTTAAAAGCGATTCTACGCGCTTTTAAGCGTTTACTAGCGTCGCTGAGCGATTTGAAAAGCGGTTTTCCAGTAGGGATTGCGCCAAAACGGAGTGGATACGCGGTTGCCGGGATAAGCGATTCGTAGGCGCTTTTGTGAACCATTTTTAAGCGATTATAAACGCTTATAATTGGGGTGCAATTTAGCTGTTTGAAAGCTGTAAATAAAGGCTTATAAGCGCTTTTAAAATGGGAGTCAGGAAACGCTATATTTACATCTTATAGCCGCTTATAATCGAATTATAAGCGTTTTTTTTTAGGAAATCGCTTATTAATTACGGCTATTTCATCCGCTATTTCGCCCTTTTACCACATTTTCTTTCATCCTGGCCAGGTGAGCAGAAATTTAAAAAGCACTTGATAAAGCGTTTTCGATGCTGCACTAACCCTGGTCGGGACGGGGGAGTGCCGGAATTTAAAAGAGCTTTTATAAGCGCTTTTCAATGCCGCCCCTAACCGGTCGGAACGGGGTACTCAACGTGGTAGTGCCCGGAATTTAAAAGCGTTATAACACCCTACGCGCGTGGGGTGGATCCTGGGGTGGACTTTTATTTCAGCGCGTATTTTGTAGCCTGTTCAACTTGACTTTTTGAATCGTTACTATCTCAATGTCACAGATACACAGAATGTGAGGTGATCATCTAAGAGAAACGTCCAGCCTTTCACCTGGTTGTAAGTTTATCTTTGTCTCAATATATAGCTTTTTCCCCCGGGCTTTTTCGTGTGCAACTGAAGTTGACATTACCATAACCCGTCCGCAACCGGTCGTCAGATACGGAGTCTTGCACAAAATTGGGTCCCTAACTTAAAATTTTATGGACACAGTTCGATGACTAGTGGACTGCGAAACTTTGGTGAAAATTGAAGGGTCTACTGTTATATTGGCAAAAGTTATTGAAAAAAAAAAACTAGCTTTTAATCAGAAGTTTTTTGGGAAAATTTCAAATTTTGTACGTAGCTAGTGGGGTCTACTGGGGTGGACTCTCGCAACGGCGCCATTGATGCGTGGCTTTTTCAACAGCAGTCAGTAGGCCAATATCAGAGCACAATTATTGTGAGTTAAGACCTTAATGGTCAGCTATGAACCCTCACTAAGAATCGGTAACCGTATCTAAAAAACAACCGGAAATTTATTCCGTCAAAGCTCAAATTTTATACTTTCTCAGGGCAAGTTACTATGAAGTGTACTAGATTGAGTATCGTTGATCGTAGCTGATTACACAGTAGAAGGTAACCATACACAGGAACAATATACAAGGAATGACTGTGATTAGTGAAGCCAATTTCAACCGTGAAACTGTTCCAAAATATCATAATCATGGCGACGATAGTTCAACTGAACCTATATAG